TGGGGCAAGTATGGACACAAAATTCAAGCTTGATACAGCTATGACTTTGGATTGTCATTAAATATTTGACACAGCATAGGTTTCTGACACAGGATGAATGTGGTGTAAGAACTGGAAAAAATTTAATTTACCTATTATGGTGGAATATCCATAAACTAAATTGTTTGTTAATTTCAATATATCAAAGAATATGTAGAATTCAATGTTTGATGTAATGTAATAAAGTTGAAATTTGGACTGTTTTTGTTCAATGTGGACCAATTTGGTAACATGTATAAATAATCAAAAATCTAAATACATGGGAGCCCATTTAAATACATCATAAAGGTATTAAAATAGAAAGTGACATCATAGTCATGGCTAAAAATAAACAAAAATCCTTAATCAGCAACATTTAAAGTTATATCTAAAAATAAAATTCCTTTGTTACCATAAAAGCCCATTTAAATACATCATAAAGATATTAAAATAGAAAATGACATCATAGTCATGGCTAAACATAGCAAAAAACCCTTAATCAGCATCATTTAACAGTAATATCTAAAAATGGAAATTACATCATAAAGGTATTAAAATAGAAAATGACATCATAGTCATGGCTAAAAATAAACAAAATCCTTAATCAGCATCAGCAACATTTTATAGTAATATCTAAAAATAAAATTCCTTTGTAACCATAAAAGCCCATTTAAATACATCATAACAGATATTAAAATAGAAAATGACATCATAGTCATGGCTAAACATAGCAAAAACCTTAATCAGCATCATTTAACAGTAATATCTAAAAATAAAAATTTCTTTGCAACCATAAAAGTAAAATAGAAAATGACATCATAATCATAGCTAAAAATAAACAAAAATTTTTTTATTGGCAAATTTTAAATGGAATTTATTATACTAAAACAATAAATTTGCAACCATAAACATGATAAAACCCCATTTAAACACATCATAAAAGTATTAAATAATTCAACTACATCATAAGGCTATAAAAATAGAAAATGACTTCATAGTCAAGGCTAAAGGTAAACAAAAAACCTTCATCAGCAAAATTTTATATTGGCAAATTTCCAATGAAGTTTATTACACTAAAATTGTTGGCAAATTTCCAATGCATTTATTAACAATAAAGTTATTGGCAAATTTCCAATTTACATAATTTAAAAGCAGTGTAGATGAGATATTTAAATGAGTTTGAATTACCAACCTTACACTGCTTTTAAATAATGTTCTTTACTCAATTATTTGTCTATTAAAATGGAAACCCTTGTTTTTTAACCTTTTTTCCCCTTATTCCTTAAACATTAGAGCCAAAATTTTAAAGAAAAAAAAAGGAAAAAAAAAAATCCTACCTCCCACACATTTTTTCAACCTCCTTTTGATTCATCATCCCCCACCTCAATCACAACCTTCAATTTGTGGTATGGTACATTGCAATACAATTTCACAGAGATCCATACACTTGAACACAAGTTTTGTTGCAAACTAAAAAAATCCTTATTTTTGACCAATATTTGGCCCCTTATTCATAAATGTTTGAGCAATTAACCCCAAAACTCAATTCCTACTTTCTCTTCGTGATAAAAAATTACTAACTTAAATGTAAATTTTAAACAAAAATAAAAGGAAAAAAAAAAATTACCCCTTTTTTGACCCCCGCCCCCCTTATGATTCATCACCCCCACCCCCCTTTCCCCCAAAACCAAGCTCAATAACAGCCTTGCCTTTGTGGTATGGTACCTTGTAATACAATTTTAGAGAGATCCATACACTTGAACACAAGTTATTGTCTAGAAACTAAAAAATGCTTATTTTAAACCCCTTTTTAGGCCCCTTATTACTAAACGTTTTGGGCAATTACCACAACACTGAATTCCAGCTTTCCCTTTGTGAAATGGAACCTTGTAGTAAAATTTCAGAAAGATCCATACACTTACACACAAGTTATTGTCATGAAACTAGAAAAATGCGTTTTTTGCCCCCTTTTGGCCCCTTATTCCTAAAATTTTGAGGCAATTAACCCCAAAATCAATCCCAGCATTGACCCTTTGTGATATGGAATCTTGTGGTACAATGTCAAAGAGATCCATATGCTAACACACAAGTTATGTCTGGAAGTTACAAAAATGCTTATTTTCGGCCCCTTTTTGGCCCCTAATTCCTTAACTGTTGGTACCATAACCCCCAAAATCAATCCCCACCTTCCTATTGTGGTATTGAACCTTATGGTAAAATTTCATAGAGATCCATTCACTTAAACTAAAGTTAGAGTGCGAAAACCATTGTGTATTCGGACGACGACGCCGGACGACGACGACGACGACGATGACGACGACGACGCCAACGTCATACCAATATACGACCTCAAAATTTTTTTGCGGTCATATAAAAAGGAGGGTACATTTTGCCTGTTTGTCAGATCTGAAGTATCTGTTTTGGTACATTCGAAGATCAGAGAACCAGTTCTCTCTTATATGCAGTTAAAGGTATGTTGATTTTTTCAGTACAAGACACCATAAGGTGCTGCTTTGTTATGCAATGATGGTCACTTTATTTGAACTTCAGACAAAAGAGCTGTGCCTGCTTGGAATTGAGGAATTTAACATAAAAAGCAATGGAGCTATGAATTAGTGGTGTACTTCCTTGTGTAAACTCCCTCGTAGTAGTACATGTACTTACTCCCTGGTGTAGTGCAGAAACAGAATTGCACATTAAAGTTTCTCTCTTTCTAATTCAGTTTTTAAGATAACAGCCAAAACACAAAAAATTAGCAATAACTCCTATAAAAAGTCTATAAAAAATTTCTGTTATCTAACTTTATTTAATTACAAAATTTGCCGCAATCATGCACTTCACACTATTCCCAACGTAATTGGAAGCAGTACCTCCCTCAGAGCGAAGCCAGTTGAATTGGTATGGGATGACCAGTGAGCTGTTGTCCAATTTGGAAATGAACTGACATTTTATGATCTACTTTCATCATTTCTACAATACCACTAGAAACCTCCATGAGAATAACTACACAGACATGTGTGAATAGCAGCTAACCACATCGTTAATGACTTTATTGACTAACTTTCACTTTTAACTTAACTAAATTCTTATTTCACTTTCACTTTCTATTTATGTCTATAACATCGTCATAACAACCATTATTGTAACATTACTTCCGGCGAACCGCTTGAACCACCAAATTTGTACTTCACTGTTTGATTTCATATGTAATATTGTCCTGAAGACGCCACGCTTGATGGCGAAACATGTCGACAAGAATAAACTCTTACCATGTGGTAATTGATGGGTGTTGTTGTCTTTATTATCTTTTTATTTATTTTATTATAAATAAATGGGGAATGTGTCCATCGGACACAGATGATGCCCCCGCTTGCATATCATATAAAGTTATAAAGGGACATAACTGAAGAAAGGTAAAAGTGACTCTACCCAAATTTATCCTTGATCTGAGTTTTGTGGTAATAAGTATTGTGTATAAGTTTCATAAAATTTGGTTGAGGCAAACTTACGTTAGAGAAGGGAAATGAAAAATTCAGCAATTTTTCCATTTATAAAGGGACATAACTCTAGAACGGTTAAAGTGACACCACCAAAATTCAAACTTGATCTGTATTTTATGGTAATAAGCATTGTGTATAAGTTTCATAACATTTGGTTGAGGCAAACTAAAGTTAGAGAACGGAAACGAAAAATTCAGCAATTTTTCCATTGTAAAGGGGCATAACTCTAGAACGGTTAAAGTGACGCCACCAAAATTCAAACTTGATCTGTGTTTTGTGGTAATAAGCATTGTGTATAAGTTTCATAACATTTGGTTGAGGCTAACTTAAGTTAAAGAACAGAAACGAAAAATTCAGCAATTTTTCCATTTTTAAAGGGGCATTACTCTAGAACGGTTAATGTGACGCCATCAAAATTCAAACGTGATCTGTGTTTTGTGGTAATAAGCATTGTGTATAAGTTTCATAACATTTGGTTGAGGCAAACTAAAGTTAGAGAACGGAAACCAACTTTGGGACATACGTACAGACGGACAAGGGTAAAACTTAATGCCCCCCCTCCTCGCTACGGCGGGGGCATAAAAATGTATAGCTGATCATATTGCTGTTTACATTTTTTGAATATCTGTTAAACTTAAATTTCCATGTTTAGTGAACCATAAAATATGGGTCAAAACCCTAATTTTTCACATCGTTTTAAAAAGTTCACTTTATCATGAAAATGCGTATAAAGTTTTGCATTGATACAACCACAACTTCATAATAAACTACCTTCAACCAAAACTTTAACCAGATATGGAATGGACAGACAGACTGACAAACTGACAAACATAATGCAACCTAATATTGTAGGTGGGGCATACAAATAAAACAATGACAGTCCCTGTAAATAAACTCATCAGGATTAAAATTTTGTACGCCAGACACACATTTTGTCTACAAAAAGACTCATCAATGACGCACGAATCAAAAAAGTAATCTTCAGTGTCAAATTCTCCTTAATTTATTCCCAATGATTGAAAAAATTCAATAAACTGTGTGTATCAATGTTATTCAATAAGTGCCCCCATTTAAATGGCGCTATTGATATATGATACAACATCTTTACATTTTTATCTAGATTTATTCCTCATTGGCTTGAAAGCAAGTAAGGATTTGATAGGGTAGGTGAGGTTTGGTAACCAAGAAAACCTATACACAATATTTTTATTGCATTTCTATACTTGTTCTTGGAGGTGAGTGCACTTTGTTGTAGTGTCAATCAAATTTGGTAATTCCTGCAATCTTTTTATAATAATATTAGAAAATTTTATTTTTTATTTTTCATCCTATAAATCAAAGATGACCAAATTTACTATCAACATTCTTTTCTTAAATACTGTTCTAACCTATATTTCACAATTTCCTATATTTTTCAAGAATCAATCAACCACATTTAACTAACACCAAACAAGACTCATTATATATGTATGCATTAAATACCTGTAGCTATCATGTGTTTGACAACTGTGTAGTTATCATTAGCTCCTAGCATTGTACATGGGAATATGACAGAATGGAATGGAACGTTGTCTTTACCAAGGAAATTATACATATCAACCTGAAAACCAAGAATTACATATAATAAACTGTTATCATAGAGATATGTCTCGCCTTTTTGTAATTTTGATAATGCAAATGTTAAAAACAGCATAACCTATGTCTCACTTCTTGACTCAGTCAAGGCGAGACAAAAACACTCTTTATATTATACAAAAATAAAATACTGTAAATTCATAATTCTATATGCATACTAAATAATGGAAGTCATTGACAATCACAAAAAACATGATTCATAGTAAAATTATAAACGAGCTAAATTTAAATTTTATAAATTGTTACTGTACTTTCCAACTTATTGATGAAGGTTGATCCAGAAATGTGGGCACCCTTACTGTGCATCCATTTTTTAATGAGTGTAATGTTTTCATCATTATTAAATCTGTGCATAATTTGGTCAAAAGTAGGTCAACTAGAACAAAGCTAATGTATGATCTTCACCTTGTTATTACAGATCAGTTTAAAATCTATATAGGTAGTATTGTAAAGGAAAACTGTTATTTTAGTAAAATTTTCTATGTCTAATAGACATAATTATGTCAAAAGTAAGTCTACCAGAACAAAAATCATATGTAACCAAATATCAGTTTATATACAGAAGGCCGAAAATTGAGAAGAAAATTGTTATTTTAATGATATTTCAAGTCAGTTTAATAGGTTGTAATAAGGTCAAAAGTATGCTAATTTGAATTTTATCTGTAAATAGAAAGTACACAGACATGAACTTTTTTCATTTCACTGATTTCTTCATAAATCATAAAGATCTTTCATTCAAATGTCACCTGTTTAAATTGAAAATTTCAGCATTGACATAGATGCCAACCCCCCTTTGTTGCAATCAGTAATAAAATGCTCCGCAGGGCACAGCTTGATACGACCGCAGAGGTGGAACCCTGAACAGTTGGGGCAAGTATGGACACAACATTCAAGCTTGATACAGCTCTGAATTTGGATTGTGATTAAATATTTGACACAGCATAGGTTTCTGACACAGAATGAATGTGGTCTAAGAACTTAAAAATTTTAAATTGGACATTCACCTATTATGGTCCAATATCCAAAATCTAAATGCATGGTTAGATTCAGCATATCAAAGAACCCCAAGAATTCAATTTTTGATGAAATCAAACAAAGTTTAATTTTGGACCCTTTTGACCTCAATGTGGACAAAGTTGATAATGGGGCCCAAAAATCAAAAATCTAAATACATGGTTAGATTCAGCATATCAAAGAACCCCATATATTCAATTTTTGTTGAAATCAAACAAAGTTTAATTGTGGACCCCGATTTGGACCAACTTGAAAACTGGGCCCATAATCAAAAATCTAAATACATGTTTAGATTCAGCATATCAAAGAACCCTAAGAATTCAATTTTTGTTAAAATCAAACTAAGTTTAATTTTGGACCCTTTGGACCTTAATGTAGACCAATTTGAAAACAGACCCAAAAATTAAGAATCGAAATACACGGTTAGATTCGGCATATCAAAGAACCCCAATAATTCAATTTTTGATGAAATCAAACAAAGTTTAATTTTGGACCCTTTGGACCTCAATGTGGACCAATTTAAAAACGGGGCCCAAAATCCAAAAACTGAATACACGGTTAGAATCAGCATATAAAAGAACCCCAAGAATTCAAGAATAAAACCCCATTGAAATTGGTCAAGAAATAAGCAATTTATACGAAGTATCTTCTTTTGCACAATACTGTGCAATTGAATATTTCTTGCTATTGCGCAATACTGTACAATTGACAATTTCTTGCTATTGCGCAAAATTGTGCTATTGGACATTTCTTGCTATTGCACAATACTGTGCAATTGAAGATTTCTTGCTATTGCGCAATACTGTGCAATTGAAGATTTCTTGCTATTGTGCAATACTGTGCAATTGAAAATTTCTTGCTATTGCACAATACTTATTATATAATAGTTTACACATCCTGTTTGGTGTGTATCTCCTACCATATCATTATTATTTGCTTTTAAATATAAAACAGAAATAACCAACTTAAAATGGAAAATTTTAAAAGAAAAAAAAAAGGAAAAAAAAAACCCCCCCCCCCCCCAAATTTTTTGAACCCCCTTATGATTCATCACCCCCAAACTCAATCCCAGCCTTCCCTTTGTGGTATGGTACCTTCCAGTACAATTTCAGAGAGATCCATACACTTGAACACAAGTTATTGTCTGGAAACTAGAAAAATGCTTATTTTTGGTCCCTTTTTGGCCCCTTATTCCTAAACGTTTAGGGCAATTACCCCTAAACTCAATTCCAGCTTTCCCTTTGTGATATGGAACCTTGTAGTACAATTTCAGAAAGATTCATACACTTACACACAAGTTATTGTCATGAAACTAGAAAAATGCTTGTTTTTGCCCCTTTTTTGGCCCCTAATTCCTAATATTTTGAGGCAATTACCCTCAAAATCAATCCCAGCATTCCCTGTGTGATATGGAACCTTGTGGTACAATGTCAGAGAGATCCATACACTAACACACAAGTTATGTCTGGAAGTTACAAAAATGCTTATTTTTGGCCCCTTTTTGGCCCCTAATTCCTTAACTGTTGGTACCATAACCCCCAAAATCAATCCCAACCTTCCTTTTGTGGTATTGAACCTTATGGTAAAATTTCATAGAGATCCATTCACTTAAACTAAAGTTAGAGTGCGAAAACCAATGTGTCTTCGGACGACGCCTGACGACGACGACGACGCCAACGTCATACCAATATACGACAATTTTTGCGGTCGTATAAAAAAGTATTACAATTTCCATAATTTCTGATTTTTTTCAGTACTAATATTTTTTTATAAAATTTTATAATAATCCTACTAACAACTAGGCACACAGTGACAAATAAAAGACTTCCTTCCTTTATTTATGACAACTACGATTCAAAGTTGATGAGCACGTGAGGAAAAACGACCATTGTGCTGAATGGAAGTCTTGTTCACAAAATATTTGCAAAAGACAACAGACGTCGTACTTGGCAGGTTCATTAATTATTCATAATCGAATAAAGAAATGGATAGATCGCTTACTAATATAGATAGTCCCCAGAAACCCGAAAGAATTTAATAATCTGTATCCCGCAAGCGCTTATTGTTACAAAATTACAACCAAAAATAAAGCGTCATATTGATCAAAATGAGATTAAACAGGGAACTGTCCCGGACGGGTAATGAACGAAAATCCGTAACAAGTAGACTACTAATTGTAACACCAAAATTTTCATCCAATATTTGTAAAAATTAGAGGTAAATCATAACGGTTGGCATCTATGTATTGAAGATTTTGTTCGATTAGACAAGAGTTTGTTTTACCCAGGATAATATATTTTTAATAAATCAATATTCACTGTATTCCCTGGCAAACTACTGAGGTAGTTCATTCCCTTGTGTACATATGGCTCATAAAGACAAGTACACTGTTCCTAAAATTCATGGAGAACTACCTTGTTTGGATTCTTCCACCATTTCTCCCATTGATCTGTGTAATTGGCTGTTATTGAAATATATCCAATGGGTGCATCGAACCATACATAAAACACCTGTCAAAAGGACAATTAAATGTAAATATAGGTCTTCTTAATACATACAGCACTTGTAAAAAGGACAATTAAATATAAATACAGGTCATCTTAATACATACAGCACCTGTAAAAAGGACAATTAAATATAAATATAGGTCATCTTAATACATACAGCACCTGTAAAAAGAACAATTAAATGTAAATATAGGTCATCTTAATACATACAGCACTTGTAAAAAGGACAATTAAAAAAAATTATAGGTCATCTTAATACATACAGCACCTGTAAAAAGAACAATTAAATGTAAATATAGGTCTTCTTAATACATACAGCACCTGTAAATTAAATGTAAAAGGAGAGATTGTCATACATGAAATATCTGTCAAGGACAAATATATTTTAATGTAGGAATCTTCCTACATACAGCATCTGTCAAAAGGACAATCAAATGTAAATATAGAAATCTTCATGCATAAAACACCTGTCAAAGAACAAAAGTATGTTAATGTAGGAATCTTCATGCATGAAACACCTGTTTTAAATTTTTTTTTTCTAAAGCTTCACAAGGTGTCATTGTTACAATACTAAACAATAATGGGCAAAGTCCCATAAGTCCTGTACAAAATGTAAAATAAAACTGATAATATAGCAGTCAAGAGAATATTATACCACGTATGAATGTTTTAAGTCAAATGGTCTCTGAGTATTTTTGTGTTCCAGACGGAAGGACGGACAAGTAGAGACCATTACCCTCGCGATGAGACGTGCAGAAGACAATAACAAAAAAGTTGAGTATATACCTTGTCAGTGTACCCTGACAATGGTACTTGTGTTCCCCATTTTAGATCTCTGCTGATACATCTAGGCTTTAGTCCATCTCGTATCCATGAGCTTGTTATCACTTTGGCGTTATTAGTCCATGTGCCTGATTTGAATACTTTGTCTAGATGTTTCTGCAGCTGTGGTTCAATCTAAAACAAAAAATTGTTCCTATTACTTCTCAAATAACAATAAATCATCTATTGTATGAATAAATCATCAGAAGTTGCTAAATAACATTTAAATTGTGCTTATCTTTTATTTCACCTTGATAAGATCAGTCGCAAAAACAAATTTGAGTTATTTTATATTTACTTCCTTTGAAAAATATATACCATATAATGAAATCAGTGAAAAATAAGCATCAATTACTTTTACTTCATTTATGATGAGAAAAAGCCAAAAGAAAAATGACTTGTACATTATGTACCGGGTAACTTGCGAATGTTTTCTGAATCTAAATGTAAACCAACTAATTTTCGCAAACAATTTATTTTCACGACTTTAGCGAGTAGAAAAATAACCTGAATGTAAATCTTCAGGAATTAGTAAAAACACAGATCTTCTCATATAAATACCTTAAGAAAATAAGACAATCATGAAAATATAAAATCACAGCGAAGTCAGCTGGAAAGGGCAAAGCCCAAACTAAAGTAGCCACGAAAATAAGTTTGTTTATAGTATGTAGATTGATAAGTGATGTAGCATTACCTTCGGTAAATCTAAGAATAAATGTTGAGTACTTTTGATGACAGGTGTAGCTTTACATAGTTTACACTTAGGGTTGCGTAGATCTACAGCATTAATTAATTTTCCACATTTGTCACACTGGTCTCCACGGGCATCTTCATATGCACAAAGTGGGCATGTGCCTTCTACAAATCTATCAGCTAAAAACCTAAAACACAGCAATACCAAACAGGTGTAAATCTGATGGAAGCCAGGATTACAAACAAATATGAAACATCTTCATCAATATTTTCTTATATAAGGTGTGAAAAGCTTTTGGATCAAAAATACATTAGAAAATTTAAACTATTTTCTATTAAATTTGTTTAAAAATATTATATCGCTTCTTTTTTATATATCTACAATCATTCCATACTTTTCTTCAATTTATTAATGCTGTTTATGTGAAATTTCTTTCATCCATTTTTTGCAATTCAAAGTTTCAGAATTTAATGAATTCTGAGTAATATTTTCACAAGTGTACACCAAAAACGTTTTTGATTGGCTGGCAACATCCTAAACAATAGGAATATAACCAATGATGTGACATAATTTTCATTTTGGGGATATCAAAAATGAAATGGCCCACAATCCTCCAGATTCTGAAATGGCTAATTGATCTAAGAGAAATCATTCAATTTTGTTAGATCTTGCACCAATAGAAAACTTCTCATTACTGTTAAGAAATAATTAACCTACCTATCACAAGCTGTACAATGAAGTTGATCAATGCTGTCCTTCAATATATATCCTTGATTGTATAACTTCCAAAATATATCCTGTGCTATACTGAAACCATAAGGTATTGTTATATAGTTGATTTTTTCAATAAAAACTTCTACAGCAACTTCATAAAACCATATTTAGCAGACCTATATTGTTGTTTCATTACAGTCCATAGAAGTATAAAGACTTGTTAAATTTTTTTCCATTTTTTTTTTTAAATCTTTCAAAAATTTTCCACATTCTTCTCTAGCTTTTCAGAATCAGTGATGTGTCATCAAAATTATGCATCCATATTCAATAGTTTATACTGTAGTTAAAAATTGGATATCTAAATTACTTATTTTTTTATAATTGAAGAAAAAAAAGTAATTAAAATAGATGTAAAAGCATAATAAAAGTTATTGCTACCAACAGGTACTTTCTGCATTGTTTCGCTTCAATTATCAGGAAATTATACTATGAATCAAGCACTAGTTTCTATAGTTATACCCTTCCGGAGCGCCTGTGAACAACCCAGGTTTTTGGTGGGGTTCGTGTTGCTCAGTCTTTGGTCTTCTATGTTGTGTTTTGTATACTGTTGTTTGTCTTTTATTCATTTTTAGTTTTTTGTCATGGCATTGTCAGTTTGTTTTAGACTAATGAGTTTGAATGTCCCTTTGGTCTCTTTCTCAACTCTTTTATAATGTTCTATCTTGGAGATAGATCTTAATCAAAACATAGCTTCAATTTGGCCCTGCAAGATGTATAATTACAAAGGAAATATCCTTTCAATGTTACCTTGTCTGTTCCTTAGTTGTTGTCCTACCAAAATAATCACAGTCAATATTGAACCAATCATAGATTTCTGTATGCAACTTGTTATATTTATCACAGATCTGTTGTGGCGTTAGCTTTTCCTCAATGGCCTTAGTCTCTGTAGCAGTCCCATATTCATCCGTACCACAAATATATAAACAGTTATATCCTCTCAGTCTACAATATCTATAACAGGAAAAAATCATACAATATAACCAGCCACATAACTAAAAGAAAACAGAAAAAAAAAAAAAATTCAAAAAGTAAAAAAACTGACAAAATGCAGCAAAAATAATCATAGTAGATGTAATGGTATATGACTTAGACTCATGTTGATGTGTAAATCTGAGTGTGTAAATCTCTTATAACTCATATAACAATAGTCCTTTTGTTTTGTCAATGGCTGTTCAATCCCCTGTTGATGTCAAGTTTTTATTGAAGGCTGTACAGTCCCTTGTAGGTATCATGTTTTTATTGAAGGCTGTACAGTCCTCTGTTGATGTCAGGTTTTTGTTGAAGGCTGTACAGTCCTTTGAAGACAATGACTTTTCATAAAAGGCTGTACAGTCCACCGTGGATGTAAAGTTTTCTTTGAAAACTAAATCTCCTTATTTTCAAATTGTGAATTTGACAGGAACATCCTGACTTTCTTTTTGAACATTTATAATAATTCTTAATCTTATTATCTATGATACCAATCAAATGATGATATATGACTTTTTTTCTATTTCTTTTACAAAATTTTATGGATTTCCGCCAGATTCAAACTATTACATATTTTTATATACATAATTTGTACATTAGGGTTATTTCTTTATGACAGATGTTTACTGCGATAGAACAAAATATTCCATATCAACTATTTAACATACCTAGAGAAGACATCAGCACTAAGTACACAACCAATAATATTACCCAGATGTGGCACATTGTTAACATATGGCAGAGCACTAGTAATAAGTATGTTCCTTTGACCTTCCTTGGGCAATCTGTAAAGTATCCATGGTTTATTTCAACCGAACAATAACATTGATACATAATAACTGTGAAATTATACAAGCAATATTTTCATTTACATTTCATCTACATTCCATCATAAAATTAAAGAACCTTAGTGAGCGCGCTCACATACCCCACGTCCCCACATTGTCACTGGAGAAATAAAATAACTGTAAGAAAAAAAAATTGTATAAGAAAAAAAAATTGAATCATAATTTCCTGTCGATATGCACATCTACATATTATGTCCTTATTATCTACAAAGTTTCATGAAATTCTGTTGTGTGGTTTCAGAGGAGTTGCGATGACAAACTGTTGCAGAGGTATATTGAAGCAAATAAGTTCAAAGGGGCGTAACTCCTAGAAAAAAAATTGAATCGTAATTTCCTGTCGATATGCACATCTACGTAGTATGTCCTTATTATCTGAAAAGGTTTCCTGAAATTCTATTGTGTGGTTTGAGAGGAGTTGCGATGACAAACTTGCAGTAGTACATTAAAGTAAATAAGTTCAAAGGGGCGTAACTCCTAGAAAAAAAATTGAATCATAATTTCCTGTCGATATGCACATCTACCTAGTATGTACTTATTATCTACAAAGTTTCATGAAATTCTGTTGTGTGGTTTCAGAGGAGTTGCGATGACAAGCTGTTGCAGAGGTATATTGAAGCAAATAAGTTCAAAGGGGCGTAACTCCTAGAAAAAAAATTGAATCGTAATTTCCTGTCGATATGCACATCTACGTAGTATGTCCTTATTATCTGAAAAGGTTTCCTGAAATTCTATTGTGTGGTTTGAGAGGAGTTGCGATGACAAAAGGTTGCAGTAGTATATTGGGCAAATAAGTTCAAAGGGGCGTAACTCCTGGAAAAAAAATTGAATCGTAATTTCCTGTAGATATGCACATCTACGTAGTATGTCCTTATTATCTACAAAGTTTCATGAAATTTTGTTGTGTGGTTTCAGAGGAGTTGAGATGACAAACTGTTGCAGTAGTACATTAAAGTAAATAAGTTCAAAGGGGCGTAACTCCTAGAAAAAAATTGAATCGTAATTTCCTGTCGATATGCACAACTACATAGTATGTCCTTATTATCTAAAAAGGTTTCGTGAAATTCTGTTGTGTGGTTTGAGAGAAGTTGGGATGACAAGAAACAGGACTGACGGACTGACAGACGGACAGACGGACGGACAGACGGACGGGTCAAAAACATTATACCCTCCGCAACTCGTTGCGTGGGGTATAATAAATTGAAATCAGCATAATGGCAAAGAACAAATATGGTCTATAATGTCATGACAACAAATGCTTACATTCTCTTGACAGATTTTATTGCTGTTCTTCATCTCAAAGTCACAGCCTTTAGCATGGAAAATTGCAATTTTAAGACATGCCATCAGTTTGAAGCTCTAGAATATTTCATTAAAATGCTAAGAAAAATATCCGTTATGGGTTGTATGTCCATTCTAGTTTTAACCTGAAATATTTTTACACTTTTACTTTTCCATCACCCAATAATTTCTGGGAAACATAGAATGCTTCATATGTACTTACATTGGATGTTTACGTTGCTGTGGCTTGGGACATTTACTCTTCCCAAAATTCCATGCATCTACAGCTGCTGACAACTCTTCCTTTGTGACAGCTTTTTGTGATATTACCTATAAAAAAAGGTCCAAAACAATAAAGTGTAAAATATTTTTGTTCAAATGCTTACTATAGATAAAGGCAACAGTAGTATACCGCTGTTCGAAACTCATAAATCGATAGAGATAAAAACAAATCCGGGTTACAAACTAAAACTGAGGGAAGCGCATCAAATATAAGAGGAGAACAATGACACAACAAAAACACAACATAAAAATGTAACACACACAGAAATGAACTATAATATAACAATGGCCATTTTCCTGTGGTACAGGACATTTTAAGAAAAAAATGGTGGGTTGAACCTGGTTTTGTGGCATGCCAAACCTCCCGCTTTTATGGCAGCGTCAAACACAACACCAAAATGACAACATCACATGACAGGACCACAATACAAATAAATGGGAGAACATATAGGACAAAGAAACACACGAATAATAGCTAACAAAAGGTACTAGGCTTAAAATTCAATACGCCAGACGTGCGTCTCGTCCACACAAGACCAACCAGTGACGCTCAGAAGGCAATATTTCTACCATTCTTCCTAGTATCATCACATAACAAGTTTAAAGGCCAGTCACCTTTTCAGTAGTTACAAGCTTGCTATGCCTTAGTGAAATGTTCCCTGCTCTGTATAAATGAGGAATTAAATTGTGTGTCATATCATTGTCAAACAATTGTCAAAATATGGTAAAAGTCACACAACTCCATAAAAAAGGTCATATCAAAATGACAGTAGTATATGGTCAAAAACACATGATGGAAAACAATACTACCAAGTATGAGAGCTTTCTTTCAAATGGTATCAGAGGAGTTGATTTCGAAGTTGACAATATTACAATAATAAAACAAAAAGTCAAAAATTCCATAACTCTGTCAGATTATAATGACGGTATAATTTGGTTAACTACTCATGATGGCAAACGGTCCTACAAAGTATGAGACCTTTGTGTAAAGTAATCTCAGCAGAGTTCCATTCACAAGGTGCTGCAGTTACAATACAAAAAAAAAGGGTCAAAGTCCCATAACTCCAGAAAAAATATTTGGATCAAAAGGACTGCATAATATGGTTAACTATACATGATGGTATGGTCTCAGAGGAGTTGTGTTCACAAGGTGTTCTTGTCACATTATTCAAAAAACATTTCAAACTCCAATAGCTTCTGTTAAAAGGGTCAGATCAAAATGATGGTATAATATGGTGAACTACTTTGTATTGATCCTGATGGCAAACAATCCTACCAAGTATGAACACTTTGTGCAAAACGGTATTAAATGAGTTAACATTACCATATCCCCCCGCAGTGTGACACATGGGTGAACAAAAAATCATACATTTAGGGGTAATTCCACCCATGTTTTAATCCAATTATTTTTGTAAAAATAAGCAGTTTCAACAAACTATTAACAAGTTATCTTTATTTCAAATATTTAAAGTAAGTTGAAAGAAATTTCTTTCTATTTTTAGGCAAGAGTAAATGATTCATCTCAAGTATAATAAATAATTAATATAACCATTAAAATAAAAAACTAGAGGCTCTAAAGAGCCTGTGTCGCTCACCTTGGTCTATGTGCATATTAAACAAAGGACACAGATGGATTCATGACAAAATTGTGTTTTGGTGATGGTGATGTGTTTGTAGATCTTACTTTACTGAACATTCTTGCTCCTTACTATTATCTCTATCTATAATGAACTTGGCCCGGTAGTTACAGTGGAAAATATTTTGTAAAAATTTACAAAAATTTACAAAATTTATGAAAATTGTAAAAAATTGACTATAAAGGGCAATAACTCCTTAAGGGGTCAATTGACAATTTTGGTCATGTTGACTTATTTGTAGATCTAACTTTGCTGTACATTATTGCTGTTTACAGTTTATCTCTATCTATAATAATATTCAAGATAATAACCAAAAGCTGCAAAATTTTCTTAAAATTACCAGTTCAGGGGCAGCAACCCAACAACAGGTTGCCTGATTGGTCTGAAAATTTCAGGGCAGATAGATCTTGACCTAATGAACAATTTTATCTTATGTCAGATTTGCTCTAAATGCTTTGGTTTCAGAGATATAAGCCAAAAACTGCATTTTACCCTATGTACTATTTTTTAGCCATGTCGGCCATCTTGGTTCGCGGGCAGGGTCATCGGACACATTTTTTAAACTAGATACCCTAATGATGATTGTGGACAAGTTTGGTTAAATTTGTCTTAGTAGTTTCAGAGGAGAAGATTTTTGTAAAAGATTACAAAAATTTACGAAAAATGGTTAAAAATTGACTATAAAGGGCAATAACTCCTTAAGGGGGTCAACTGACCATTTTGGTCAAGTTGACTTGTTTGTAGATCTTACTTTGCTGAACATTATTGCTGTTTACAGTTTATCTCTATCTATAATAATATTCAAGATAATAACCAATAAAATGCGCAGGGCGCAGCTTGATACGACCGCAGAGGTCGAACCCTGAACAGTTGGGGCAAGTATGGACACAACATTCAAGCTTGATACAGCTCTGAATTTGGATTGTGATTAAATATTTGACACAGCATAGGTTTCTGACACAGAATGAATGTGGTCTAAGAACTTAAAAATTTTAAATTGGACATTCACCTATTATGGTCCAATATCCAAAATCTAAATACATGGTTAGATTCAGCATATCAAAGAACCCCAAGAATTCAATTTTTGATGAAATCAAACAAAGTTTAATTTTGGACCCTTTTGACCTCAATGTGGACAAAGTTGATAATGGGGCCCAAAAATCAAAAATCTAAATACATGGTTAGATTCAGCATATCAAAGAACCCCATATATTCAATTTATGTTGAAATCAAACAAAGTTTAATTTTGGACCCCGATTTGGACCAACTTGAAAACTGGGCCCATAATCAAAAATCTAAATACATGTTTAGATTCAGCATATCAAAGAACCCTAAGAATTCAATTTTTGTTAAAATCAAACTAAGTTTAATTTTGGACCCTTTGGACCTTAATGTAGACCAATTTGAAAACGGAACCAAAAATTAAGAATCTAAATACACAGTTAGAATTGGCATATCAAAGAACCCAGATAATTCAATTTTTGATGAAATCAAACAAAGTTTAATTTTGGACCCTTTGGACCAATTTAAAAACGAAGCCCAAAATCCAAAAACTTAATACAGGGTTAGAATCAGCATATTTAAGAACCCCAAGAATTCAAGAATAAAACCCCATTGAAATTGGTCAAGAAATAAGCAACTTATACGAAGTATCTTCTTTTGCACAATACTGTGCAATTGAATATTTCTTGCAATCGCGCAATACTGTACAATTGACAATTTCTTGCTATTGCGCAATGTTGTGCTATTGGATATTTCTTGCTATTGCACAATACTATGCAATTGAAGATTTCTTGCTATTGCGCAATACTGTGCAATTGAAGATTTCTTGCTATTGTGCAATACTGTGCAATTGAAAATTTCTTGCTATTGCACAATACTTATCATATAATAATTTACACATCCTGTTTGGTGTGTATCTCCTACCACATCATTATTATTTGCTTTTAAATATAAAACAGAAATAACCAACTTAAAATAGAAAATTTTAAAAGAAAAAAAAAAGGAAAAAAAGAAAAAAAAGGAAAAAAAAAAAAAAAAAAGAGAGATCCATACACTTGAACACAAGTTATTGTCTGGAAACTAGAAAAATGCTTATTTTTGGCCCCTTTTTGGCCCCTTATTCCTAAACATTTTGGGCAATTACCCCCAAACTCACTTCCAGCTTTCCCTTTGTGATATGGAACCTTGTAGTACAATTTCAGAAAGATTCATACACTTACACACAAGTTATTGTCATGAAACTAGAAAAATGCTTGTTTTTTGCCTCTTTTTTGGCCCCTAATTCCTAATATTTTGAGGCAATTACCCCCAAAATCAATCCCAGCATTCCCTGTGTGATATGGAACCTTGTGGAACAATGTCAGAGAGATCCATAAACTAACACACAAGTTATGTCTAGAAGTTACAAAAATGCTTATTTTTGGCCCCTTTTTGGCCCCTAATTCCTTAACTGTTGGTACCATAACCCCCAAAATCAATCCCAACCTTCCTTTTGTGGTATTGAACCTTATGGTAAAATTTCATAGAGATCCATTCACTTAAACTAAAGTTAGAGTGCGAAAACCAATGTGTCTTGGATGACGACGACGACGACGCCAACGTCATACCAATATACGACCGCAAAAATTTTTTGCGGTCGTATAAAAACGGCAAAATTTCCTTAAAATTACCAATTCAGGGGGAGCAACCCAACAACGGGTTGTCTGATTCATCTGAAAATTTCAGGGCAGAGAGATCTTGACCTGATAAACTATTTTACCCCATGTCAGATTTGCTCTAAATGCTTTGGTTTCAGAGATATAAGCCAAAATCTACATTTTACCCCTATGTTCTATTTTTAGCCATGGCGGCCATCTTGGTTGGTTGGCCTGGTCACCGGACACATTTTTTAAACTAGATACCCCAATGATGATTGTGGCCAAGTTTGGTCAAATTTGGCCATGTAGTTTCAGAGGAGAAGATTTTTGTAAAAGTTTACGGACGACGGACGACGGACGACGGAAGCAAAGTGATGAGAAAAGCTCACTTGACCTTTCAGGTCAGGTGAGCTAAAAAAGGAATGATGATTTAACATATTTTCCCGGTCTTTTACAAAAACAACTTTTTACAATAAAATGTCAAGTCTACTTTAGTTAACACGCTATAAAAGTGTAATAATTTCTTGATGGTTAAATATTTTTGTAATAAGAAAATGATGTTTTTGTTTTGGTGTTATTACACCTAAATCTAATCAATGTTATGTCAAACAAGAAATGATTGTAACAGGATGCTGTTACGAAGTCTCCCAAACGAAGCTCCCATAATTCGTACTTCCCAGGGTCGCCTGACATTGGGCAAAGTCCAGTGAAAATTGGTTTGGTCCAGTAAAGTTATATCCATTAGTGATGCCTGGGGACTAACCCTGTATAT